GCGAACGAGGTTGGCCATACAGCCCATAATAAGTATGCCATTTGCAGGTTGAAATTTGGAATCTGAGACAAAGCTGCTGTAAAGGCGGTTTTCCAGTCCTCACACGAAGCTCCTCGCAGCTACAATCTTGGACAAAACCCTTGAGACCATTCCAGCTAATATTACAAAGTTATTGAACATTGACAAAACAAATTTTGTCTCCCCCTCCCCCCCAGTTCAATGTTGTGAACAACGTCGAAACAACTTTTGGTAATATACCAAGATACAAGCTCAACATTGAGTTTGGGGAGCTGGGGTTTAAGAATGGCAACATGATTCAACATGGAGTTTATCATAAAAATACGCGAATTTTCTATAGGGGGAATATAGTCTCAACCAGTTATGTCCAAGATTGTCTGAGCATACCAATTGTTTGAGAGTTATGGTTAGAAAGGTAGATGGGTTAGTGTTGCGATGGAGGAAAAATTATTAAATATATGTTACACTGCAAGTACTGTAGGTAACCGAAATTTTTATCCATATTAGCAATCATTCCAGGCGATGCCAAATCTATATTTATATTGTAAGTAAAGGGAAATTAATTAGGACATAATATACGTCTGGATGAAAGTAAATTATTTATGGGACTTTTGGTAAACTTGATTTCTACCTTATTCCATATCATTATTGAAAGCTTCGTATAGTGAATATAAAAACATATCCAACACTAAAAGTAGCCGAATTGGTCAAACTTGATCACATGGTTTGCTCAGAAAACGGCTATCACTCTAATGTGCGAACGTTCCCTGGTCTATTTGAACCAATTAGCTACTGCTATAGAACATAGCTACAGAGTTTAAAAAGAAATGGAATCGTGGACATGCTAAACGTTGTCTACACAGCTACTCTCATATAGGCAATCGGCACTTTTCACAGGTTATTAGTATGGCGACCCCCCACGAGGAACAAAGGGTCGCCTGTACAATGTTCAAATGTTCAAATTGGCCATAGTAAAGAAATGCAAGTATATCGCCATGACTTTTGGAGCATAAACCTTTTATAATAATATATAAGAACATTCCAAACGATTAACGAAAAGATTTGATGTGATATGAACGGTAAACGGGGATAGCAGCAAGATTTTATAGTAAATGATAGGTCTAGTCATTGTTTTAAATTGGAGTCGCCATTTACCGTTGTAATGGCCTGTTTACCGTTCTTTTATCAAACCACGATAATACGGTGGCCCACAAGTGTCACGGCGAAAGTAAATTGCCACGGCAAAATTAAATTAACTCACGGCAAAATAAAGTTAACTCACAGCAAAATAAAGTTAACTCACGGCAAAATAAAGTCAACTCACGGCAAAATGAAGTCAACTCATGGCAAAATTAAATTAACTCACGGCAAAATAAAGTTAACTCACGGCAAAATAAAGTTATAACTCAGGGCAAAATAAAGTCAACTCACGGCAAAATTAAATTAACTCACGGCAAAATAAAGTTAACTCACAGCAAAATAAAGTTAACTAAATAGAATTAATTTAACGTTGAAAGGCCTTGGAAAAGGCCTAAATTGCTAAAACAAAATGGCCGTCACCTCGCTCGATTGGTCTTTTCGCCATCTACTTCCTCAGCAAATTAAGCTATTAATTTTCTCTGACTTTCCTTTCTAGTTCTTAATTATTTGTTTACTGTTTTAAGCTGATTTGTTTCAATTAAAAAGGTAGGTAAATGACTTTTGTTATCGCTTTGTATTGACAAATTTATATTTTATTATATTAACATTTACATAAACCGTAATTATTAACCCCCAGTGTCTTGTTTACTTTTCAAGAAATTTGGTGGGGGATATATATGAGGAGCTTATATATAAGAAAGCCTTTATATATTGATAGAAACCAATGCCAATGAGCCAATTAATAAAAATATTTGGGAGAATTCTTTAATAAAGACTGCATTTTCATGGGCAAGACTATTTCTATACGGGGACGGTGAATAGGTTTTCGGAGTTTTCGGATCGTTGGATTTCACAGAAAAAATTGTTCGGATTTCGGATCTGGCGAATATTTTACACGGATTTGCGGATCTTATTAATACAGCGGATTGCGGATTTATTTAATAGTTTGGTTCGGATTGTGCATTTAGCTTGCAATTTTGTTCCAATCCTGGATTGTGACTTCATAGTAGAGCTTTCAGCGGATTCAAATATAGACAAGACCATTGTCGGATCGCGGATTTTGCTTCAAGTTTGGGTGGATCGGCGGATTTGTATACCCCTATTCACCCCCCCCCCTCCTATACTTGGACTTGGTTGAAGTCAATGGGTCGACGAAAGTAGAGGCATGCTAAGAGGCGTACTTGGTTCAAGTTCGTCTGTCAATGGGTCGACGAAAGTAGAGGAGCACAGATCGTCTCGTACCCGGAGCATGCTTGTTCGCAGGTACGTTGGGCTATGGGAAGTTTATATTGGAGGGGGAGACGGACTTGGGACATTTAACATTTCAAATGTTACGTTACTTGTAAATTTGGCGCGAAAATATATTCCTGTTCTTGTCAACTCACCAGCCACGCCTCTGTAGGAAGAATCAGACGGTAAATTTTGGCGCGCATGCAAATGTCCCAAGTCCGTCTCTCTCCCTACTTTTCTCTCATATTTTCGCGTCTTTTTTCACCGTTCACGTGCATCGCTATTTTCAACCACTTGAGAGACTGAACCAAGTCTATTAGTCTATTATTGCCAGAAGTTGCAGAAATATCATCATTGAGTTCTCTTGCCTCAAGTTACAAGGTAGAACAAATCAGAAACAATGTAGCACCCACATACCACCCATGGCAGACTCGGAAGAGAAGACTTGTTTTGGAGTTTGTTTGTCACAACGGAATGAGAATGTAGCAAGCTTTGCTACTGCGCCAATATGCTTTAGAGGCCGACCGTTAGAAAATGGGAGGGAGATTTTCTGCAGATTGCACAAGTGTTTAAAGATTTGTAATCAACCTTGATTAATCTTAATGAATAATCAAGGCATATTATTAACTTGTGAAAGTTGTTCAGTTTGATAACTTTTAAATAAAAAGTTATTATCAATCCTGAGAACTCTTACAAATTATAGGTTAAGGCATATAGTAAAGGCCGTGACTGTTGATAAGTGTAATTACATGCACTCAAATTTGCTCCAAGTCTCACTCAAATTTATTTAATTATTGTAGGTTTGTAATCAGTTTGTGATCGTTTCAAGTTCAGAACTGATCTAACAATAAACTGGATAGACCCGTTAAAAATACAAACTGGCCTAGTAACAGACTGGATAAATCCTACCAAAGAAAAATAAAACTTGCCTCATCAAGGACTGAATATATCCTATCAAATCTAATTCGAGCGAGACTTGGGCAAGTCTAAATTGCACTTTACTTTTGTAGCCGCCATGCTTTCCGACGATTCTGAGTCTGAAGAAGAAAACGAACCTCAAGAAATTGATGAAGAAAGTATCATTACATACTATTTTAATTGTGGTTTCAGTTATGAAGAAATGTTACTATTCCTTGAGAAACGCCATTACTGCAAGATGAGTCGCAGCACATTGCTGCGATGACTAAAGGCGTATGGTCTATGTAGAAGGGGGTTTGCAAATAACCCAAACTCCAATTGTATTGTGGAACAAGTTCGACAACGTATTAGAGAACTTATTAATGGTCCTGCTTCATCGGGAGGGTATAGAACAGTATGGCATACCCTAGAGATGGAAGGATTGAGAGTGCCTAGAATTGTAGTACAAGACATATTAAAAGAGCTTGATCCAGAAGGAACAGAATGGAGGAAAGCTCATCGTTTTAAACGGAGAGAGTATCACAACCCAGGGCCAAACTATGCATGGCACATGGATGGATATGACAAACTCAAGCCATGGGGTTTCCCAATTCATGGTGCCATAGATGGCTTTAGCCGCAAAATTCTTTGGCTTAATGTTACCCGTTCAAACAATTCTCCCGATAATATCGCCAAGTTTTATTTAAAAACTGTGGAAGAGCATAAAGGATGCCCAGTTGAAATGGTGACTGATCTTGGAACCGAAAATGGCTTGGTGGCAGCAACACAATGCTATTTTCGTGACAACCATGATGCGCATCGCTACGTTCCATCTCCAAGAAACCAACGTATTGAAGCATGGTGGTCCTTTTTCTCAAGGAATCGCTCCACATGGTGGCGAAACTTTTTTTCCGATTTAGAATCCCGCGAGGAAATCGATTTATCCTATGACCTAAGCAAAGAATGCATGTGGTATTGCTTTCACGACCTCTTACAGAAAGATATTGACACTGTTAAAGAACACTGGAATACACATCGCATTAGAAGGTCAAGGTATAACACCGTTCCTGGTCGTCCAGACTCCCTTTTTTATTTCCCTGAAAGCCACGGAGGCGTTAGTAATCTTCTGAAGGAAGTACCAGAGCAGGAAATTAATTATGCTTATGAAGAAATAGTTCAAATGAATCAAGTGAATGAGTATCAAGAATACTTTGAGTACGCAAGAGAAGCTCTTGGACTTCCACGTGTGCCTGTAAGAGATACCCAGGAAGCGTGTGAATTGTACGAAAGAATAAAAGTTGACATGCTTTAATGTAAATGCTTACAAAGTGAAGAACTGTTAAAATAATTGGACATGCAGTAAATAACGTCAATGGCAAACATCAAGAGGGAAGAAAGAGCAAGGGTTTAGTGGCTATCCCCCACACACTTAACTTTGCATGCAAAATACTGTGCAGTGATAACACCCAACAATTAATCATACATGAATTATAAAAACAAGCCACACTAATCGTAAATTTATTGTTTACATACCCTGCATGACCTCCAGTTCACTTGGTGTCTGCCATTACTGTGCAGTTCGAGTTAATATAAACACAAAATTGCATTATTTCAACAAGAATATAAACAATTTAACTAAACTTTAGTACTAGCTAATGTAAGTAAAAGCTAATTTCATTGCCTTTTGCACTGTTCGCGTTTATGTTTCTTTGATCTTAATGCCTATCAAAAGATTGGCCACCACAGTATGCTCTAAAAAATATGTTGTTAAACTCAGCTGACGTCTTCATGTGATTTACAGGAAGTGTTACCGATTTACCACAGGCACCAACAACAGGATAACAAACTGTATGATTAGGATATTGAATGGCACAATCGTGATTAAACATGATTGAAATAGCTATTGCCTCTCCATTAAGTGGTTTGTGCTGCTGACCAGTTAGCCACCCCATAACACCAGCAGGTGTTAAATCTGGTTGACTAAATTCTTCAGCAGTTTCATGAGGGGCATCGGCATCATCGGGAGCATCAGCATCATCGGGGCCATCAGCATCATTGGGGCCATCAGCATCATCAGGGTTCGAAGAAGCATTGTCTTCGACAAAAGCCACGTTTTCTTCATCCTCAAGCTTGAATAAAAAATCTTGAAAGTGATCCATTATATTTTCTTCGGTGCATCTCTTTGAACTTCCTTCTGGGGAATATTCTGGGACCATAATGGAATAGAGGTAATTTGCATCAACGACATTTTGATTCTGTGAATCAATGACAAACAATAACTTGCAAACTTCAGGATAAGCAGCGACCAATCTTGCAAGCCCAAATACACCAAGCTCATTCATGAACTCTTTCAAGTAAACAACTCTTTTCATAACAATGCTGATGATGATGGATTTCATGATCTCTTCTGTGTGAGCCTCGTCGATGACACCAGTGTAACCATGTTCAAGTATGGCTTCTTGGTGCAATGGAATATTATTTCTCACTGCTGTGAGAAAGCTTCTGTCAGCTAAAGTCAAATGTTTGTTTGCATCGAGTCCACTCATATTGACATCTGGATTCACCATGAGCATGTAGACACTTTCATCAAGAAATTTAGGTGCTGGTCCACCCTGGGATAAACTGGTTGCCACAATTTCACCACAAGCAATCAAACTACCATTTTCAATATTGGAGGTGGAATCGACTGGACTTCCACAAGGGAACATCTTACAACCAATTTCAGAAAGTGTCTTGGTGTAGAATTCTTTCGCTAGTGCTCCAGAATCAATACCTTGTTCACCAGAAAAGTGGATTCTTAAAAGTCTCTTTAAAAAACATGTTCTTTTTAACTTCTCTTTTCCAGATTGCAAGTGTTCGTTGTAATGGTGCCCCTCGGCGTATAACTATGAACGATTGTTCTGATTTATCTACAGCTTGCGATATCGTGCTGATTACTGAGAATGTGTCACTAATATGCTCTTCCTTTTTGTAATCAAGTTCTTCTTGTAATGCCGATTCATCCTCAAATCTCTGCATCTCTCGAGCAAGCTCTTCATCTAAATCTATTTGCTCAGATTGTTCTGATGGCTCCTCTACAAGATCAGCATGCTCATCCATGGGACTTTCACAGCGTCTAAGTTTTTTAGCAGGACGATGCTCTTCAGAAATTTTCTGCACCCTAGATACATGACCTGAAGTAGATTCAGAGCAGGAAGCATCACCGAACTCCAAATCGGATTTACTGAAATCAGATTCTGTACAAAGATAAAAGGTTATGCTTTTATAGTCCTTTCCAATTTCGTCGCGATAACGCTTGAGTGAAAAAATTTCATCAGTTGAGCCAGGCAGCAACATTGCAATTCTTCCATCTTCATATAACAGTGAATAAATTTGACTAGGATCGTAAAGATTGCTATGGAAATTCTTCCACTTCTTTTCAGCTTCCTGCAATAAGGACCTGTATGTTGATGTAGGCGAAACTCTCAGAGGCAATCTTTTTCCACGTTTGCATCTAAGTTCTTGATCTTTATCATTCCATTCCATAATACCAATGTTGATAACAACATCACTATCTGCTTTCTTTTTTGCACTCTCTCCACGCGTTTGGTCTTTAGAAACACGCTTTTTCCACTCTTTGGCTTTACCTTCTCTGTACTCTTTCAAAGACTTGACTTTGCATTCACTTTCACTAGCACTTTTGATACCTACATAAATTCAGATTGAAAAATATAATTGTTAAATATAAATTTTCAACAACTTTTTCATGTCTGAGTGTTTTCCTTTAACGCCTTATGCCTTACGCTATTTAATTAGAAATAGTATGAGCCGATGATCCTAACATGCAATAGGCATGCATCACAGTCAAGTGCTAATATTCAATTCCCTGACTTTTCAAAATAATTTTCATTGTAGGACTCCCAGAATCTGTTTGCCATCAAATCTACGTCAACATAATACCTTTATTCACAAATTCAAAAATAATCCTTTCAAATGCTAGCTGTAGTCAGATGACTTAATAAATCTATTTCATTTCGCAAACGTTTAAAACTATTTGTGTAAAGTGTCATTCCTGCCGTCTTTTGTCTAACCTTCATTCTAAGGCCGCGTTTACATTATGACGCTACGGCTAACACTCCATTAAAAATTTACTATGTTTCTAGTATTAAGACTATATTGTGTTTACACTATAACGGAGCGGTTTAATTGCCGTGGCGTACTAACTACGGAATTATATTGTGTTTACACTATTACGTAGTGGTTTGACGTAGCGTACTAACTACGGAACTCAATTCCGTTAAAAAATCACTACGTTTCTTAGTATTGTGTTTACACTATAACGAAGTGGTTTTGCCGTAGCGTATTAACTATGGACCACTACGTTTGGCACTCCGGATGCAAATCACTACGCTACGGTAAATTTGCCGTAGCGTCATAGTGTAAACGCGGCCTAAATGTGTTGTTAGTAGTAAATTATTGTTATTAGTAAGATATATATATATCCTATTACCTATCCCAAAATGAAAATAAATCAGGAATAAATCACGTAAAATTAAACAAATGTGAAAAAGTAACGAAATACTTCGCCACAAAATGAAAATAACGAAGTAAAACGTTACTTCTAATCTTAAAACGACTTCGTTCCAAGTAAAAGTACTCCAGAAAAAGTTTACTTTGTTACATGCTGACTTCTCACAAATAACGGAAGTACATTTGCTTCGTTACTTGACACCACTGCCACTGGGTGTGCTTAAAGAGCAACTGCAGCGAATTTTTGGACCTAGTTTTTTTTAGCTTAAATAAAAATTCAGTCTTTTAGAAGCATTTTCATATATATTTGACCATCATGCGATGCTTAGAAGTTGCCAAAATTAACCTCTGAAGTTGGTTATCGCGTGTGCGAACTTTTCCGTCGCCATATTGATGCAGTGTGACGTCATAAGATGAACGGAAACGAAGATATGAAGGTCGTATTTGTAGTAAATTATATGGCGTGTCAACATATTGGAGTGGAATATTTGTCTATTTCACTTGTTTATGGCACAGATAACTGATTTTTAAAAATCGAAGAACAAGTGCTTGGGGTTGGTTGTCAATTGGGAAATTCTCCTGTTACCTTCTCCTGTCATTGTTTCTGTAAATATGTAATTGTCCTTTGTTGTAATTGTGACAAATTCATTAAATTAAATTAAAAGTGCTATATCTTATTAGAATGTTAGGGTTTGTAATCCAAGTGATTATATACATTTTAAGACCTGACCAGGAACGACTGCGGCCTTAGGTTCAATTCCTACCAGAGGACCTTGTGCTGCATTTTTCGCAGTCTTAAAATGTATAGATTAATCACTTGGATTACAAACCCTAACATTCTAATATTAATTCCATTCTGATATTAATTCTAATATTAATTCCACCAAGTGAAGTGTAAGAAACCACTGCTATATCTTATGTCGTTTTGAGGACAAGGACTGTGATTGAATAACTCAGGAGAAGTCAAATTTATGGCCAAAGCAAGCATACCTTACGTGGGGACCAAAGGGTCCCGAGTAGGTATTCTTGGATGGTCTGTGCCAGTGTAGGTAGTGCCAATAAATAAAAAAGCTTCGGATCGATAAGGACACTGCCATGCAGGGCCGTAAGTTGGGTATTACGTCTGGGAAGGGGGAGGTTATTTTTCATACAATTATTACTGATTGGGAAGGGGGGTGAGGTTATTTTTTATACAATTATTACTTTTCAAAAATTTATGTAAAATGTTTTGCCTGAATTACATTTTTTTTGCCCAACGAGTGTGTTGTTAAAATTGCAAAAATCGCCTAACAAACTGCAATATTACAACATTGGGGGTGTCGCCCCCCCCCCCCCGCATGCACACACCAGGAGTTACCCCCTGGATACAACTATTGTCTACCTGCAAAGAATGAGGGTAACAAATTGAGCAAGTGAAAGCATTTGATCAGTGTTCAAATTATATCATTCCATGTATTACCTGGGTAAAGTAGTATTTAATAGATCTAAATATTATTTCATCTCTCTCCAACTAATTGCAATTGCCTGCCACTGCCAAAATGATCTAAAACCCAATAACTATGGCTGAAAGCTGTAAAGCTCAAGTAGCTGAATTGGTGAACCCTAATTATGTTGTACAGGGTACAATTGTTTTGCATTTACAAAAATAATTTCTAACTAAATTATGGTACATGTATCACAATTTTAAAGTCAGCAAACTTAGTTTTATTGTACATTTAAACAGCTTTGAAATTCAGAGCCACAAGTATTGTGTCATATATAGTGACTAAAGTGAGGAACTTTGGTGTTGGACCCTGAAAACTTCCATTATCAATCTTGTCATAATGATCAGCATAATTTTATGTAATTAATTCAAGATAATTTTGATTTTATATAATTTAGAAGCATGTAGATATATGTACTATTTAAAAAACGAGCAGGAGTGTTTCATTAGGTTTATAGCCACGAGCGCGCAGCGCGAGTGGCTTTAGACCTAATAAAACACAACCTGCAAGTTTTTTAAATGGCTTCAAAAACGTTTGCATAATAAGTCAAATCTTTATATAAAAATCTTTATATAAAAATCTTTATATAAAAATCTTTATATAAAAATCTTTATATAAAAATCTTTATATAAAAATCTTTATATAGTTTGCATAACAATGGTCTTTTGTTAAAGTGTTCTTTAGCTGGTATAAAGACGTATGCATGTGACTAATTTCTTACTCAAGATTGAATAATTGCTTCATGAATTATTAATGATTTTTGAAATGTATTTCAAAAACTCATTAATAATTCATAAGCTTATTGGCAAATCATATCAACCATAATATGTCACGTGCAGTGGCTTTAAACCTGATAAAACACTCCTAATTAGTGTGCTTTAAATAGTACTTATAAAACTCATTAACAATTCATAAAGAAAATTCAAAACAGACGAATGTTTAATCAATGTTTGTAAATCACATAAAGATTTGTCTTGATTTTATACATAAACTTCAGCTTTGATTTTCTCGGCTTAGACAATGTTTATTTTTAAATTAATTACTTTGCCAATTAACTCATAAGATGGGTCATTTTATAAGCATGATAAAACATTATAATATAGCATTTGTAAATTCTGAACGCTGATTGGCTAAGAGCCATGTTGATATAACTCAATGTCAACACGGAAACGTCGGAAAATTTATTTCTTTATATTTCTTTGTGCTACATTATAAAACAAATATAAAACATTTTTTCCGTATTGATATATAGTTATATATCAACACTCGTGGAAATTGGGAAAACTCGAAATTGTGTGAAAACACTCTGCCTTTCGGGCGTCGTGTTTCCACACAATTTCTCGTTTTCCCAATTTCCACACATCAGATAAAAGTCGGCTGCTCATGTTTTATCTAGTACTAAGCAACCAGAAGTGAACCAGAAGATCTAGCTAGTAATGGAAATTTCATCGATATTCTAGGAAAATGGAAGTGCACACATGGGAGAGTTCAAGGATTTGGAATTAATATTTTGTGAAAAAAGTTGATACATTTTGTTTGTGGAAGTTCTATTTGTTGTAATAATGATTCAGTGCATATATATATGCCATACAATAAGGGGAACATGTTTATCACTTGGGTTTTGCCTGAATATTTTCATAAGTTTGCCCAACCTCCCAAAGAAAGATCCTGGGTATGAGGTTGAAGTTTGCCATATCTCTTGGAACATAATAAATCAGTAAAACCTCTCTCTGTCAAGTCTCCCCTCCCCCTCAAACAACCTGAAAAACAGTAATTATTTTGTAATGATACTGATTGATAAGGGAGGAAGTTGAACAAAAATATACCTCCATATGCAATGTCATTGGTAAAATAGAAGAATTTCCTTCTACTTTGCTTGGATAAATATTTCCTGCTACAATGGAATTGCAAGATGGACAGTGTCAATATTATACAGGGTGTATAAAAAAAAACGCAACCTCGGAATTTCCCAAGAAATCGACATTAATTGTTTTAAGAACAAAAGATTTTAGGTGCCTGGGAATTTAAAATAGCACAACTGTCAAAATTACTGCACACACGCTACACGCGAGTGCATAAACAAAATTTATGCATTTATTTAATGACACTTAGGGGCTGATAACATGGATAGTTTTCAGCTCGGTCTGAGTTTCAGCCCGGTTAAACGAGCTGAAATTGCATCACGATTACATGAGCAGTTTCAACCCGGGCTGAGTTTAGTCAGAGCTATATTTATTATCAACCCGGGCTGAAATATTAATATGTAAAGTATTTAAAAATGAAACAAACACGCAAAATAAAGCCATTTAGGGGCTGATTACATGGAGAGTTTTCAGCCAGGGCTGAGTTTCAGCCCGGTTTGCCGGGCTGAAATTTCAGCCCGGCCTAAGGATAAAATCCTAGTAAAACACAGCAAGCGATTACATGACCAAAACTCCAGCCCGGGCTGAGTTTCAGCCCGGTTTGAGCTACCTGGGCTGAAATTTCAGGCCAAGCTGAAACTCAGCTCGGCATGCATGTAATCGCAAATAATTTCAGCCCGGCGTAAAAAACAACCGTTGAAATGGCTTTATTTTGCGTGTTTGTTTAATTTTTAAATAATTTACATATAACCACAGTCTCACACAAGTCAAATAGTGGACTAATCAGTGTCTGATTGGTTCAAAGAAGGCGTAACACTCTTATTGACCTATTTCGTGACACTCAGATTATTTCAGCCCAATCAGCCCGGGTTGATGATAAATATAGCTCTGACTAAACTCAGCCCGGGTTGAAACTGCTCATGTAATCGTGATGCAATTTCAGCTCGTTTAACCGGGCTGAAACTCAGCCCGGGCTGAAACTCAGCCCGAGCTGAAAACTCTTCATGTAATCAACCGGCCTTAAACGGTTGTTTTTTAGCCCGAGCTGAAATTATTTGCGATTATGTAACATGCATGCCGGGCTGAAAACTCTCCACGTAATCAGCCCCTAATAATAGGTTTTTCGTTACAAGTACAGTACAACAACAGTATTGAATATTTGCGATAGATGAACCAGGTGGAAATCGTAATCTTAGGATAAATATTAATGCCCAGCATAAAACACGTAAAAGAGCCATAACAAAATTATAATTTAAAATATTTATTTGAAAGCTAACGTTTCGTCTTTAACTTAAGACATCTTCAGAGCAATTAAATATGATCTATTAGCAATTCGTTTTCAATTCCCAGGGGCCTAAAATCTTTTACTGTATCCTTAAGAATTGCAAAGTGGATTTTTTAGAAAATTCCGAGGTTGCGTTTTTTTTTATACAACCTGAATATATACTTAAAAATGATATTGAAGTATACTCAATATATACTGTTTACAAATTAGCATGTTATTGTCTATTGAAGGTTAAATTCTAATCAGTTAGTATGTGATTCAGTGCCGGGAAAAACTGACTAAACTATATATTATAAAACAAGCTTATTTTATAAACAAGCTTTCGTTGGTAGGCATGCAGTTGAAGGATACATTCGAAATTCAACGTTTCAAGTCAAGGGCAAGGCCCTTCGTCGGGAGCTACTATAAATAAATTCGCTGTTCCTCAAGAGTATTTTATACTTTTCTGGTGTTAAAACAACATACATTATATTATCAGACTCACCTTTTCCACATTTTGAACAAAATTTGTTGCCTTCGGCAACAGAACAGCCACACACTGAGCAAAACATGTCCTTTAACTCAGTCTGAACAAATTGTTACACACAAGGTTCACTGCGCTACAAAAAATGGCGGGAATATGTTAGCCCGCGTGCAGGCCCTACGTGGGATCCTATGCGCGGGATCTCCAGGTATCCGCTATTCTGCACTGGTACTACAGGTATTTGCCGGGAATTCACAGCATGAGCTAACTTTATTTTGCCGTGAGTTGACTTTATTTTGCTGTGAGTTAACTTTATTTTGCCGTGAATTAACTTTACTTTGCCGTGAGTTGACTTTATTTTGCCGTGAGTTAACTTTATTTTGCCGTGAGTTAACTTTATTTTGCCATGAGTTATAACTTTATTTTGCCGTGAGTTATAACTTTATTTTGCCGTGAGTTATAACTTTATTTTGCCGTGAGTTATAACTTTATTTTGCCGTGAGTTAACTTTATTTTGCCGTGAGTTAATTCAATTCTGCCATGAGTTAATTCAATTCTGCCGTGGCTATTCACTTTCGCCGTGACACTTGTGGGCCACCGTACGATAAAGATTATACTTGGTTAACCGTCATATAAAAAAATTCGGGTTAAATTATAAGTTTTAAAAGCAAGTTTGAGGCTCATAAACTATAGAACAAATGACGTCATCTTATAAAAAATACCTATATACAAGAACATTTGAACGTGATATTTACATAATTGAATTAAATCCCAATGCATGTGTCTCGACCTCTATGCCCCAGTAACATGATTATTACTCACTTCTGGCAGTAGAAAACTATATATTTTAGATGAAACAACAAGAAAAATTCATGCGTTTCATGCGTATATTTTAGGATGTGATAAGTTCAAATAGGCATTATATTGCTTGCTTTTCATGCAAACAAATATATATATTGCTCGAAAAATAAGTATTAACGTGTATATCCATCTTTCAGACTACTGGAGTGGAAGAAAATTAAAAAAGATTGAGTTATCATGCACAACTAAATTCAGTGTGTTTCAGACAATCTTGGACAAAACCCTTGAGACCATTCCAGCTAATATTACAAAGTTATTGAACATTGACAAAACAAATTTTGTCTCCCCCTCCCCCCCCAGTTCAATGTTGTGAACAACGTCGAAACAACTTTTGGTAATATACCAAGATACAAGCTCAACATTGAGTTGGGGGAGCTGGGGTTTAAGAATGGCAACATGATTCAACATGGAGTTTATCATAAAAATACGCGAATTTTCTATAGGGGAATATAGTCTCAACCAGTTATGTCCAAGATTGTAGCTGCGAGTGCTTGCATCTAACTAAAATGAACTGTTTAGCATTGTGATTTGATGAAAGCAAATGATGCCAGTATTAAGACAGCTAATTTTGTAATTTTTTTCTTATTACCGGTAATAAGGGTAATAAGCATTGACAACATAGAGACAGCCACAATAATCGTGCATTTGATCAAATTTGTCGCTAGCTATATCTTAAATCTATTATCTAAATATTCACGGTAGCTAGGTTCTGCAAGTCTTCACAAGCCATAGTTTTATTTACGAAAGGGAAAACAGCCTGAAAATAGTATTTAAACATATACATCTAGATAACATAGATAATTGCTGTATTTACAAAGTTCCAACTCTCGCTTTGCGAGAAGAATCTTTGACGTTTGGTAATTTGATCTGTTACAGTATTATTAGAGAGGTTAAGATACCCTGGTTTCGGTGTACGAGTAGTGTCATCTTGTTTTACTGATATCTGCAATTCGATCATACTTTTTCTGTTTTCTTGCATATAGACAATGATATAATGCGAAAAATGTGCACCTTAATCACAATTATAGGTACAGACATCGACGAAAATATTGCTAACCAAAATCATGCTACTTGTACCCGTACACCGAAACTGGGGTATCTTAACCTCTCTAATGTCTTGTGCGCGATCGGTTTACAAGAGCAACTTGCCAACTTTTTATATAGTCTTTTATTCGTTTATACTCTTTTTTATATTGATATACTGTTAATTATTTCGGCTGCCACTGACCCAGTTATGTCGAAACGACGCCGTGGACAAGAATTGTTTTCTCGAGAAGCTGTCATTGCCTGTTTGAAGGAAAAATCAGATGTTAGAGAGAACATAAACAAAGTGGTTAATTATAGAAGCACTAAAAGTCTTGAAATAGCGCAAATATTAAACGGCAAGGACGAAATCAGCGAGGAGGCCATGGTATTTATTCTGGCATCAAAGCTAACGATGAAAGGATTGCTGACGCTAGCTATGGCAGTTAACCATGTTCCTGCGCCATATAGTCAAACAGGCCACAAAGACAGGGAAGACTACCCAAACACGAGGCTGTACGCAATTGGCGTGATAATGAAGAAGGCAGGATTTACGTTCAAGGCATGTTTGTTACAAAGCTATGTGACATTACTAGAAACACGATGTCCTTCCTTGCTTTCATCTTACTGCCAAGTCTTCGATGTGCTCTGGAAGGCCACAGAAGACGAATCTTTTAATTTTGTCAAGATGATGGCACCTCCTGTTCATCATTGCCTTGATTGTAAGCAGCCACTGTCTGTCAACAACAAGCCAACGAAAGTAACATTGTTTACACTGCAAGGGCCAATTCCTTCAACCAAGTTAAGACTTCGATGTCGCGAATGTGCTGTGCAATATGGAGTTTGCAGTTTTAGTGATAAATCTGCAGAACATCTTTACCCTAAATCGATGCGCCCCCCTCTTGTGGAAGCCAGCAATGTTTGTTATCTTGAGAAAGGATTATACAAGTGGATACCATCATTCGGGTATGAAACTTTAAACTTTTTATAACCAGCAGTAAATATCACGTTAGACTTATTAAAGGGTTAAGGCACAGAATAGGTTAAGCTCCCCCTCACCTGCCCCCCCCCCCTCACCTGCATCCCATCCCTTTAGGCTCTATTGCTTACAGATCCATTCGTGAGCGAAAATTGTATGCACTTGTCAACAATTAGTGCTGTAATCTATTATAGCCAGCATTACTATCACAATAACATAAATAATGACAACAACAAATAAGAAACTGGTATTATAATATTGTCTTAACAGCAACCATTGTTGGGTGTCATTCAGTGGGTTTTCACAAGCTTATAATGAAGTTTTCTTAAATGAAATTAATCACTACTCGTGTGCATTAAGAGGTAAGTATGGAACGCCATACTGGACAAAATTACTTTAGGATTATATACGTAAAACTTCTCTCGCGCGTACATCTTATCTGCATTCTTGCAAGGCTTGAATACACGCGTATAAAACATCATGGTTCGCGTGTAAATCGGCTACTGTACTGACTGTTCGCAATACTTAGAAATATCCCCGTAATACTTGAAAACATTTCCCGGAAACGTTAACTTAGACTTCTAACTGCGGTCCGAAAAAATTCGCAAGTGGAAAACCGGCTTAAAGGCCGTTTTCTACTAGGCGGAATTTTGCGCGCGGAGCGGTATTTTTCTTTGTCTTGTGATTTCTCGGGTGGAACTAATTAGAAAAGACAAAGAGAAATTTCGTTCCGCGCGCAAAATTCCGCATAATGGAACGGCCTTAAAGCCATTTTCCACTAGGCGGAATTTTCAGCGCGGAGCGCAATTTTTCTTTGTCTTAATTGTCTTGTGATTTATTGGGTGGATAATTAGAAAAGACATGGAAATGGAAAACTATTTTTGTTATTGCAGTACTCCAATGCAACTAATGCTTTCCAAGTAAATTTACATTCTTTTCTACTCCGCGCGGAAAATTCCGCCTAATTTGTATATTTTCATTATTTTCTTCCTTTATCATTAATCAACGGCCCCTTGAAAATCAGCTACAAGGAACTGTACATAAACTTGCTGAAGGGCTACCGTTGTATATGTGTAAATAAGATTAAATAATGAAAACTTTATTAAATGGATATTTAGCTTATATATACAATTGCAAATCTCACTTATATCAGGTAATTTACAACTGGCTACTTAAATCACTGATTATATATGCAAAAATTATACTATTAAGATAACAAAATGACAGTACAACGTTTAAACACTTAAATTAACAGTTCCGGATTCATCCATTCCTTGTTTCGACAACAAAATATATAATACGTTGTTCGGATTGCAATCGTCATCATTCTTCTAATACAGTAATTCTGATGTTGCTTTTGAAAACCAAAATCATTAAGCATTTCTATGAAAGTAGAACATTCTTTACAGAAAACACCAAGAGAACTAATCGAAAGATTTACAAATTTTACTGAGTTGAAATGTTCATTTTGTTCCCTAATTAATTCTTTATATTTTGATTTTTTACGCTCAACATTTTTTTGAAGATTTGATTCGAAGCTAACTGTAAGTTCAACAATATAGAGTGTTCTGGTTGAGGTTGAAAGAAGCAAATCTGGACGGTAGGTGTCACCAGTGATGATTGATGGACTTTTGTACCCTGGGAGATCCACGTAAAGATGTGAGCCGCTTACGGTCTGCAGGCTTGTTGCGAGAATGTTTAGAACGGAGTCATGTCTGCACGTGAATCGTTCTAGATACAATTGGCAACCAGCTACTAGGTGCAGAATTGTTTCAGGAGCTAAACATCGCGAACAGTCTGAAGTCGGTGATAATAATAATAATAATAATAATAATAATGGTAATAATAATAATAATGGTAATAATAATAATAATAATAATTTTATTTCTCGAGTGTTTATATATGGACGAGTTTCTACCATGTCTTTCTGGATGCGGTTTGGCGTTTTCTGATCCATATCTTGATTTTATTTGTCGTCCATGGGCGATCTGTTTGGCTGACTTTTATGGTCCTTTAAAGTGCCTATGCGACAATTTTTTTTATGATTGAATTGCAAAGTTCATTTAAAATTGAGTATGCTTAATATTTGTCGACAGGCCGGAGCTACGGGGGGTGTGACACACCCCAGAAATTCTATTCCAAGCTTCAGTCGGCAGACAAAAATATTTTTGACGAATAAAACTACTACCGATATGATTTTCACCTGTTATATAAGAATCCGAAATTTTGGTTACTCGAAATTTACTCAGCAGGATAATCATTATAATCGGTTAGTAAAACAAGCCCTGATTGACAGTCAAACCACATCGGCATACAAAGTATATGTAGCATGTTTGATAGGTAGAACCGCTGAACACAATATATTGCTGCCAAAAACTCAATTATCAAATATGGCGATTTATAACAGGCTTTATTTAGAGCACAACGGGCGTAACTTCAGGGACCGCGGAGCAGGGGGGGGGGGGGAGGGCAACAATTGCCATACATATGTAATTTTTATAAACTAAGAATACTGAAATCTTTCATATCAGTTAACAATATATTTATAACTTATTAGTACTTATTAGTATAAGTGTAAACAAATGACGGGTAATGTTAGATTAAGGCCCCAGTTACACGAT